GTTCCATCCATTTTCTTTAACAGTTACATTCCTTCCAGACTGTATGACTGTATTAATAGGTTTTTATCTACTGTTCTAACGAAGGACTCATTGGTGGTTTGCCATTTTTCACCATTACAAACAATACTACAGCAAATATTCCTGTACACAAATTTGTGTGCTTATAATATAAATATTTCTGAAGGATGTACTCCTGGAAGTGGGATTTCTGGACCAAATGGCATGCACATTTAAGTTTTTGGTAAATACCACAGATCTCTTAAAAAATATAATTTATCTATCCCCCATCATACCCATCAACACTGGATGTTATCGATTTTTTAAAAAATTGCTAGCATCATGTGCAGAAAAAGCTGTATCATTTACAATTGCATTTCTCTGATTTACCAGTTGAGATGTATATCTTTTCATATGCCTATTGGCCCTTTGGATTTTTCTGAACTTTTTCCTTGAAGTATAAAAATACAGAAAAGGTACACAAACCTTAAGAGTACTGCTGAATGAATACAAGGCGAACACTTCTCGTAACCACCACCCAGGTCAAGAAATAGAATGCTGTCCGACCTTTCCCCACCTCCCCAAAAGTTATCACTATCCTGACATCTAGTTCCTATGAATTAGTCATGCCTGTTTTTGAACTTCATACAAATGAAATCATACAACATGAGCTCTTTTGCATCTGGTTTCTTTCATTCAACATTAAGTTTATGAGTCATTCATGTACTTGTCTGTAGTTGTAACATATTCATTTACATTGCTGATTATGTTTCATTTTGTGAATATACCACACTTTATTTAATAATGGACATTTGGATTATTTCCAACATTTAGCCATTAGCAAATAATGATGCTATGAACATTCTTGTGCATGTCTTTTAGAGTACATGTGCATACATTTCTGTTGGGCATATGTCTAGGAATGAAATTTTGAAGTCATGAGCAATGTTCTTCATCCAGGCCCACTATATTTGTGAATTTCCTATGAAAATTCCTTGCACATTAATTATTGGGTGGTTTGTGTTTTATTATTGATTAGTGTGTGTTCTATTTATTCTGGATGTTAATTCTGTATTATATCTTTTGGAAATATTTTGACTAGTCTTTATTTATATTACCTTTTATTTCACAAAGTTTAAAATTTGGGGGCAGTAAAATCTGTAAATCTTTTTCTTTATTTGGTTTATTCCATTTCTGGGTTTGATGTCTTGCTTAGAAAGTCCTTCCCTATCTCAATTTTGTAAATATTCTCTTGTGTTTCCTTTAATATTCATTTTATTTTTATTTTCACTTTAGGCTTTTTAATCAGTCTGGAATTTATTGTGTGAGGGTGAGAGACAGAGGCTAATTCATTAGCACTTAGGGGATGAATAAAATTATAGCATTTGCTGCCTTGATTTTTTTAACGCTTATTTTTTAAAATCTCAATACAGGTGATAACATCAATGAGCTAAGAAACTGTCAAAATTTTATTATTTTTATTTAAACTTCAGAATGGTCTCCTCTAAGTTAAACCTGAGTTAGATTCTAAATGGGGTAAGTTTTCTATATCAGTGCTTGCCACCCAAAAGGCCATGCATATAAATGGTCAATGGTTATTTAGTCATTTACTATGTATTTATGGAACTTAATGTGCAGTTCTCATGGACTCATGTGTCTAATGAGGAAAAAGAGCCTATTCTGGAATCCTTGAGGGAGCTTGACTGCACCATGCATCTGAGCTCTCCAGTCAGGAAAATCACAGCTGCTTGCTCTTAAGGCCCCAGCTCCTCCCAATCTGAGTTGATGTCCCCAAATGGATTATATACTAAGTCTATCCTCAATTAGACAAAAGTCCAGTTCGAACTTTATAGCAAATCCCCAGGGCCAGTTTTTGGTTATAGACATGATTTCCTCAGGCAAGACTGCCCACTTAAGGAAAACTATTTTCTTGGCAGGCTGGTGATCAACGTAGGGTCACATATGGCAGAAGTATGTCTGAACTCAGTCTGTTCTTCCCCTTTGTCTGAAATGGAGCCGGCTTTTTGTGCCTGTTAAGCATCAGTGCTCACTGAGGAATACTTGTATGCAGACTCTCCAGTCGCTCACAGCATGAAGCAGTTTTGTTCTGCTCACCCCTCCTCTTTCCTTTTGCTTTACACATTTTTGGGAAGGCCAGATTACTTGCGATTTAGTTAATGTGTTATGGGACTGGAGCCTGAGCTAGGGTGTAGGGAAGACACAACCCTTTTAGAATGACAAAGAGCATGGTTTTAGACTGGTGAGCTGCACGTGCAACTGTGAACTGTCTGGGCTGATTTGCTTGGAAATTGCTGTGCTGGCCAAGCTCCAGAAATGTAATCCACAGTGGCCTGAAATCACAAGTTTTGCTGCTTGCATTCTTAGTTTCACAATTTAAGGATTTGGCTGGTGCCTGTCCTGAAAGCATGGGATTTTCTACTGTTTGTGCACACATGCCATTGAGTGTGTGTGTGTGCATATGTGTGTGTGTGTGCAGTGCACACGGGCTTGTCTGCACAGGCATATTTTACAGCTGAACTCTTTATACCTATGGGGAGGCAGTAATTAAAGAACATAGTATATGGCAGATTTTCTTTGATTTCAAGAATAGCATGTGTGGATTTGTAAGTTCCTGTCTTGGGAGAAATGTGATGGAGAATCTTACGTGTAAGTGCAATTGATTCACTAGCTAAAAGACCTTGCCTCAAAATATCTGAGGATAATTTACTTAGGAGAATTCAACATGCCATTTTTTTTTTGAGGAACAGGTGTAATGACCACATTTTGGGGGAAGTGAAGACCTGAGCTTTGAGGAAGTTAAGCCTGAGGCCACGAGCAGCAGTTATTTATATCACTGTGATGTGTATTGAAAGCCTGTGACTTTCATTCCACCACAGTCACGGAAGTAGTTTAGAGAAGAGGATGGGTGTGCATTTTGCCTTGTTAATCATCTACCACACTAAGAGCTTCTGGTGTGGTTCAGATTTCTGGTAATCTGTACCCTGGCTCTACTGCCAACAAAAGGGTGCTTACTTGCTCTTCCTCAGCCTACTCTGTGGAGAAAATGGCTCACTTCCGAATGGTTGATAGATGTGTGAAATGATTCTTGCTTCCTTTCCCAAGATGCCCCCTGTGTGAGCATCCTGGTGTGTGTGTTAGAGGGGAGGGAGAGAATTTTCATTGTCTCTAAGCTCAAAATAAAGACACTGGACTCTAACAACCAACAAAAACAGAACATTAGGAACTCTTGTGTTTGCTATTATAATAAATGAAGCCTCATGTAACTAGCTTCCATTTTTCTCTCTTGAGTTGTAAAGCTACTCCCCAACCCCACCAACACTCACAGCCCCAGGCTCTTTTGGTTGTGGGAAATGAGTGTGTTTGGGGACAAACATGTCAGAATTATGAGGGAGAAACTTGGCAGGGAAACGAACTATGCAATATGCTTGACAAGAATTGAGAAACAATACATCTCAGATTTTCTGAGAATGTCTCAATTTTTGGTTCAGAAATATGACCCAGAGGCTACAGAAAGGGAATTACTGTTGCAGCTCCATTCGGGACATGAACAGGCAGTCTTAACTGAGGAGCCAGCACCGGGTATTTCAGCACAGAAAGATGAGGTGTCTGTAGGTGAGGGACTTGGTCCTGCTTCCACCAGGGGTAGGTGGAAATTGAAAAGAGAGAACTTGTGGACTTTTGCTTTAAATAAGAAAACCAGGAGGTAGATGTCCACAAAGCAAAATACCCAGAATGGTAGAGCAGTAAGGAAATGCTAGGTGGCGGGAAACACGTGCATGTTTGCCTAAATGTTGAGATTTTTCTGGGCTCACCTAATCTCAGTCCTTTGGAGTTTTCCTTTTATGAGGGTAAACATGGTTTAATAGTGAGCAAATATTAGTTCAGATAATTAAAACCATTCGAGTTGGACAGGAAACATTCAAGGGAAATGTGCAGGTGCCTGCAAGCAAGGGTGGCACCAGGAGGGTCTTGGTATGTTGGCTCCCTCTCCCCCAGGAGGAGCGTCCCTGGAGTGAAGCCACACACAGCCAGAGAGGAAACAGACGACTTGTAAAAAACAGGAGCAGGGTGGAAACATTCTGAACGTATTTATACGCTGTGAGCCCTGGGGAGAGTGTAAGAGGCATCTGGGGTATTTGCATTTTTGTTTGTTGGAGGCGTCTCACAACTCTCTCTCTCATTCATTCAGGACACGGGATTTCCAAGACTGTTGCCATCTTAGAGTTTGTGTTTTCAGCTTCACTACAGGTGTCATCACACATATTAAAGAAAGACAGTTCTAGGATGACTTAAAACAGAGAAGCCAGCCTGAAATTCAATTTTGGACCATAGATGCATTTTCCTTCCGGAGGGAGCCATGTGATTTCTCCCGTCCTCACCATCCTGCATTCTTTTCATTCCAAGGGCTGGTCACATCAGGACAGAAGCCCTCATCCTCAGGCCCTTGTTGATGAATGGGAGGCATGCCCTGCTTAAGTTTTTTCCAAACCAGAGCAGCGACTAATGGATGTGTAACTCACCATAATCCATGGCAAGGTATGATACAAACCATGAGAGAAAAATAACAAAGTGCTGATGGAAACTTATTCTCGTTAGGGAGATTTGTTTGTGGTGACATTTGAAATGAGCCTGAAAAATGAGTAGGATTTTGACAGACGGAAAAGAATGTTATCTTTTTAACCAAATTACTATGGTATTAATGTTCAGTAATATCTAAATGAATCTGAATCCATACAATATACCTGGGGTTTCTGAGAGGTCCCGCCTCAGCCTGGTGTGCGGCTGGCAGGGGCAGCGCCCACACTATTCTTTTGAGGACACCTTCCTGCCACTCAGCCTAAGTGGCTCAAATGGGGCTGGCCCTGCCCCTGGCTGTAGGCCGAGGCTGTGACCCAGACTAACTAATAAGAGCACCAAGTCCCTGTAGCACGGTGATTGGTTCTGGGGGAACCATGTGACCCAGCTGGCCCAGTCCTGGGGCTTTATTTGGAACCACTGGGGAAAAAGCATCCACTTTCTGCTGGGTTGTTAAGCTGGTGGGTTGTTGTTGAGGAGCAGGAAGGGCCTGCTCTGTTACCACACAGGGAGAACCTGAGAGATGGCAAGATTCCTGAGCACCTGGATCCAGTTGTGCCAGGAACTCTACTGTTGGATTTTTTAGCCCCTTACTCCCACTTTTGAATAATCCATTATTTGCTTTTCCCTTGCAAACAAAAAAAGTCCTAACCAGTACAGAACTTTTAAATAACCTGCTTAAACAAACAAGCAAACAAACTGTGGGGGTAAGAAGGTTGCAGATTCATAGAGGAGGTTCCTAGCAAAAGGAAATCTCCTTGTGGCTAACATTTTCCAGATCAGCTTCTTAGGCCCTGGTGACTAAGACACTGGGACTGTATGCTTTAACTCGCTGGTCTGAGGCTTCTCACCAATCTAGTTGACTCCTGAGTGCAGGATACTTTTCCATGAATCAGAAATGCAATATGCAGTCATGTTGTCACAAAGCAATGAAAAAGGCTCATTTGCCTTTTGTGTCTCTCCGAGTTTGTTTTTTCTGGGTTACACATTGTAAGTGAGGAGTCGTAACAACAATGCTGTTGGGATTTATTAGTAGTTGAAGAGAGAGACTAATGAGAAAAGACCTGTTCATCATCAGAATCAAATTCTCTGCAGAAGAATTGTAGACTGTGGGACAATTGCCTTGAGCCAACTAATTTTCTGTCCCTTCAGGGAAAACTTTTGGGTGTTTGAATGAAGTGCCATATCTGGAAATGCAGAAGATAATTGCTCTTACTGAGTGCTTACTATGTCCTTGATATTAAGAACAATATTTCGCCTATATTCTCTCTTAATGTCATCAGCTTTACAAGGTAAGTCCCAATCCTGTTTTACAGGCATGGGGAATGAGGCAGACACTACCAGTTGCTATCCTACATCCATTCTCTCCTTGTTCCGTGAAGAGAGCCCCAAGCAATTACTACTTCTAGTTCAAAGTTTAGGCCCTCTGAGTGATTGCTGCAGACATTTATCATTTTGCAAGCATTTCATCATTTCTTGCCTGCAGCTAGAAGTCTTCTTGGGATTTCTGGGAAAGTGTTGCTTTCCTGATGTGGATGTTGTCCCTTCCTTCTTGTCCTTCCTTCTCCCTGCCTGGAATCTGGATAGGAGGTTGGTGGTGGCATAGCCAAGTTTTGACCTTGGTGCAACCCCAAGAAGAACCATATTCTGAATCCATATAGGACAATTCGAGGTTTTGAGTGGAGCAGGAAGATAGAAGGAAACTGCGATATTCTGACATTGCAAAGCCACTGTTCCTGCCCTGGACAGCTTACTTTCAGACTAGTTATGTAAAAAATTAAAAAGGAAACTATTAACACAGTGAGGCTGGGTTTCTGTTACTGGCAACAGAATGCACTCCCCAACAGACACAGGGAAACAGCTAATGGAGCATGAGGGGCTTCTTGCAGTTTCATCTAAAGTAATGCTTCAAAGCTGAATAAGAGGTAGTATCCACCCTTAAAGAGTTCTAGCCTAGTTTTGGAGGTGGATACATAAAGAAACAATTGCAATATAATGTCATTAGTGCAATGATAGTAATTTGCCTAGGGCATCAAGGATTCCTAGGAAAATAAAGAAAATGAGACAAAAATGGAACAGTAGTTAGCCATGCAGAGAAGAGAGGTGCAAAAAGAGGTTATAGCTTGAAAAAGGTATCAGAGTGAGACACTGCGCACCATATGTGGAGAGCCACAAGCTGGTGTGAGTTGTTGAAGCATAGAATTGCAGCAGGAGAGGTTTTTCATTTAGCCCTTGCTACATAAGAAGCCACCCTCAAAGCTTAGTGGCTTAAAGCTATATCTTTTTTCATAATTCTTCAGTCTGAGCTGAATTCAACTAGGCAGTTTTTCTGTTCATAAAATATCTGTTGGGGTTGGAACTTTCAAGAGAACTTAACTCTTGCAAAATGATAAATGTTTAGTGCCTCATCTGGGATAAATGGAATCACAGAGGCTGGCTGGGCATTTCTTTCTCTCTCTGTGTGTCTCTCCCTCTCTCTCTCATTCTCTCGGTCTCTCCTCTCTGTGTGCATAGCTAGGACTTCCTCATAGGGCAGTTGACTTCTTACAAGGTATATGGCTTCCAGTAGGGTGGAAGACGAAGCTGCCCGCGCATTTAAGGCCTGGGCTCAGAAGTACCAGACCATCACTTCCACTGAACTCTGTTGATTAAAGCAAGTGACAGGCCTGCCCTGCATCAGGGAGAGGAAGTAGCTTCTACTTCTTGATGGGAGGAGCATTATGCACATAAAGGGAGAGATGAATTAACAGGGTCATCTTTGGAGAGTACCGACCACAGAGGTAAAGTTTGCAGATGAAAGACAACCTGGTCTGCTTGTTAGGTAGGTCAGTGTAAACGCCAGACCTGGGGGTGTGCTATGCTACATAGTTGGGATCTGAAAGGAGAATGCTACTCAGACTTCCCTAACCCATCAGAGTAAAACAGACAGAGTAGTGTGATTAGGCAGAGGAAGGGCTGGAGTTTGGCTTTGAATCCCCTTCAGTTTCCATGTGACTGGACTCAGAGGCCCCCTTATGTCATGGGAGATGGGTGAGTGGCGAGTCAGAGTGGCTACTCTGGAATCCACAGTGGTGAAGGTCATGGGGGAGCCTACTGCAAAGGCCAGATAGGCCTCTCAGGTCACGGGCTGGGGGGAGCCTGGCAGAGAACCTGTAGTGTCAGAGTGGCAGGGGAAGCTGAGCAGGCTGAGTCTACCTGGGAGGATGGTAAGTCCTGGCAAAGCCAAGAGACCAGAGGAGGAGTTCCCAGCCATCCCATAGCACAAATCAGCAAACATCTGAAGAATATGTTATGGTTTTGAGCACTTTGTCTTCTACCCAGTCAACTCTTACCCATCAAGTCACAAAGATAACACCCCTCTGTGACATAATGAGTTATAAGAAATATATATTTGGTCAATCAGAAGATGAAAGTATATCTCCCAGATATTTTTGGTCTTCATCTACAGTTCCTAAGAAAGCTCCAGAGCTGTAAAGATCAAATGGGTGTCTTGTTACGTTGAGAGTCTTTTGGACCCCACCCAAGAGTAGGAGCTGGTTGCCATGGGAACCAACAGTGTGATCAGAGGGTGGGAACTCTCAGCCTCCAGCCCCCAACCCTTGGGTGGGAAGTTGGCTGAGGAAGGTTGAATCAGCCAATGGCCAATGATTTAGTCAATCATGACTGTAATGAAGCCCTCACAAAAACCCAAGAAAGGAGGATCCAGCTCTCCCACTTATGCATTCTGTTTCTCACGATGGAGCTTCCACATGTGAGGACCCAGATGCCTACACAAGCCACCCAGCTAGGCCCCAAGCTCTGAGAGGGTAGAAGCTCCTTTATTGGAGACTTTGCCCTATGTGTCCCTTCATCTGGCTGTTAACTTGTATCCTTTACAGTATCCTTTATTAGACTGGTAAAAGTAAATTTAGAGTTCCGTGAGCTGCTCTAGCAAATTAATCAAAACTAAGGGGAAGGTTGGAGGCCAGAAGCACAGGTAACAGCCTGGTGCTTGCACAGGCATGGAGTGGGGGGGTGGAGGTGGTCCTGAAGGATGGAGCCTGTCACCTGGGAAATCTAGTGCTGTCTCTGGGCAGACAGTATCAGAATTCAGTTGAATTCTTGGACACTCTGCTGTGTTTGAGCACTGCTTGGTGTCATGTGTGGGAACCACACTCCCCCCACAACCACACACACACACACACACACACACATTGGAATAAGGTTGGGAACCCAAAAGAATAAAAATTAAAGAGACTCACAGAAATACAAATAATTATTAGAGAATACTATGAGAATCTATATGTTAACAAGCTGTAAAACAGAAGAAATGAACAACTTCCTAGAAAAATACAACCTTCTAAGACTGACCAAGGAAGAAACAGAAAATCTAAACAGACCAAGCAAGGAAATTGAATCGGTAATCAAAAAACTACCCAAGAACAAAACCCCCAGGCCAGATGGACTCACTGCTGAATTTTATCAGACATATAGAGAAGACATAATACCCATTCTCCTTAAAATTTTCCAAAAAATAGAAGAGAAAGGAATACTTCCAAACTCATTCTATGAAGCCAGCATCACTCTAATACCAAAGCCAGGCAAAGACCCCACCAAAAAAGAAAATTACACACCAATATCCCTGATGAACATAGATGCAAAAATACTCAACAAAATATTAGCAAACTGAATCCAAAAATACGTCAAGAGGATCACACACCATGATCAAGTGGGATTCATCTCAGGGATGCAAGGATGGTACAACATTAAAAAATCCATCAACATCATCCACCACATCAACAAAAAGGACAAAAACCACATGATCATCTCCATAGACGCTGAAAAAGTATTCAACAAAATTCAACATCCAACAAAATTCAACATCCATCCATGATAAAAACTCTAAAAAAAATGGGTGTAGAGGGCAAGTACCTCAACATAATAAAGGCTGTATATGACAAACCCACAGCCAATATCATACTTAACAGTGAGAAGCTGAAAGCTTTTCACCTAAGATCGGGAACAAGACAGGGATGCCCCCTCTCTCCACTGTTATTCAACATAGTACTGGAGATCCTAGCCATGGCAATCAGACAAAACAAAGACATACAAGGCATCCAGATTGGTAAAGAAGAAGTCAAACTGTCACTATTTGCAGATGACATGATATTGTACATAAAAAACCCTAAAAACTCCACTCCAAAACTACTAGAACAATATCTGAATTCAGCAAAGTTCCAGGATACAAAATTAATACACAGAAATCTGTTGATTTTCTATACACTAATGATGAACTAGCAGAACGAGAAATCAGGAAAACAATTCCATTCACAATTGCATCAGAAAGAATAAAATACCTAGGAATAAACCTAACCAAGGAAGTGAAAGACCTATACCCTGAAAACTACAAGACACTCTTAAGAGAAATTGAAGAGGATACTAACAAATGGAAACTCATCCCATGCTCTTGGCTAGGAAGAGTTAATATTGTCAAAATGGTCATCCTGCGCAAAGCAATCTACAGATTCAATGCAATCCCTATCAAAATACCAACAGCATTCTTCAACAAACTGGAAAAAAATAGTTTTAAAATTCATATGGAACTACAAAAGACCTCGAATAGCCAAAGCAATCCTAAGAAGGAAGAATAAAGTTGGGGGGGATCTTACTTCCCCTCTACTACAAAGCTACAGTAATTAAGACAATTTGGTACTGGCACAAGAACAGACCCAGAGACCAGTGGAACAGAATAGAGAGTCCAGATATTAACCCAAACATGTATGGTCAATTAATATATGATAAAGGAGCCATGGACATACAAAGGGGAATTGACAGCCTCTTCAACAGCTGGTGTTGGCAAAACTGGACAGCTACATGTAAGAGAATGAAACTGGATCATTGTCTAACCCCATACACAAAAGTAAATTCAAAATGGATCAAAGGTCTGAATGTAAGTCATGAAACCATAAAACTCTTAGAAAAAAACATAGGCAAAAATCTCATGGACATAAACATGAGTGACTTCTTCATGAACATATCTCCCCGGGCAAGGGAAACAAAAGCATAAATGAACAAGTGGGACTATATCAATCTGAAAAGCTTTTGTACAGCAAAGGACACCACCAATAGAACAAAAAGGCATACAGTATGGGAGAATATATTCATAAATGACAGATCCAATAAAGAGTTGACATCCAAAATATATAAAGAGCTCATGCACCTCAACAAACAAAAAGCAAACAATCCAATTAAAAAATGGGCAGAGGAGCTGAACAGACAGCTCTCCAAAGAAGAAATTCAGATGGCCAACAGACACATGAAAAGATGCTCCACATCATTAGTAATCAGAGGAATGCAAATTAAAACCACGAGATATCACCTCACACCAGTAAGGATCGCCACCATGCAAAAGACAAACAACAACAAATGTTGACAAGGTTGTGGAGAAAGGGGAACCCTCCTGCACTGCTGGTGGGAATGTAAATAAGTTCAACCATTATGGAAAGCAGTATTTAAGTTCCTCAAAAAACTCAAAATAGAGATACCATTTGACCCAGGAATTCCACTTCTAGGAATTTACCCTAAGAATGCAGCAGCCCAGTTTGAAAAAGACATATGCACCCGTATGTTTATTGCAGCACTATTTACTATAGCCAAGAAATGGAAGCAACCTAAGTATCCATCAGCAGATGAATGGATAAAGAAGATGTGGTACATATACACAATGGAATATTATTCAGCCATAAGAGGAAAACAAATCCTACCATTTGCAACAACATGGATGGAGCTAGAGGGTATTATGCTCAGTGAAATAAGCCAGGTGGAAAAAGACAAGTATCAAATGACTTCACTCATCTGTGGAGTGTAAGAACAAAGAAAAAAACTGAAGGAGCAAAACAGCAGCAGAATCACAGAACCCAAGAATGGACTGACAGTTACCAAAGGGAAGAGGACTGGGAAGGATGGGTGAGAAGGGAGGAATAAGGAGGGGCAAAAAAGAAAGGGGGCATTATGATTAGCATGTATAAGGTGGCGGGGGGATATGGGGAGGGCTGTACAACACAGAAAAGGCAAGTAGTGATTCTACACATCTTGCAATGCTGATGGACAGTGACTGTGGTGGGGTATGTGGAGGGGGGACTTGGTGATGGGGGGCATCTAGTAAACGTAATGTTCCTCATGTAATGGTAGATTAATGGTACCAAAAAAGAAAAAATTAAAGAGACTGAGTGGATTACGCAGGTGCCATGTCTTCCCCAGACAAACCTTTAGGTGTTCATACTGCACTGCCATGGCACCTTTGATTTGTATTTGTAAACACTGTGAGGTTCTGTGGAAACCTCACAGGCCTGGGTAGTTGACATCTGCTGGGTATTATTTTCCCCTGAACCTTTCCTCTTCTGATGAAGGAATATAAGATTATTTCCTTTAAGATGAGTTCATTGGCAATAACAAGACACACAGAAGCTGGTCAGAGCAGTTTTGGTTGATGGAGGTTAGAGGAAGTATATATAGTGGGAATTATAGCCTGGCCAGCCCTTCCCTTCAGCCTCCTACCTCCCTTCAATTTTTGTTACAATAAATGCAAATGGTGTCAGCTTTTGTTTGTCCCTGTTGACAACCTGGGTATCCTCTCCTATCCAGACCCTGGAAATCTCTTTATTTCTTAAAACCTGTATTCTGTTGTAAAGTTTAGATTCTGAGTTGGATAGGAAACTGCTCTAAGTTCTAGAGAAAATGTGTTTCTGTCCCAAATTGGAATTGAGAGGATTTGGGAAAAGCCAAAACAACAAAGTTGCAATTCAGAATTGTGCTTCTCCAAAAAGGAGCTTTCAGACATGGTAAGACAATGTATTAGAGGGTTTTGGTTTCCTTTAAACCAGCCCTATAGTCAAAGGTAATATAGCTACATAATTAGATAATCAAGAAAGGGAAGTTTTCATATTGAAAACATGCTAATGAATCATACCAAACTGTTGTGGCATCTACTCTGAGATCTTAGAATTGCTTTCAGAGTCATTTACTTACCAGCACTTGGGAATTCAATTTGTATAAACTGTAACCTTCTGGTATATAACATATGCCAGGAAGAATGCATATTTGCAAATAAGCAATTTCCATTCTCGTAATCTTCCTTTTCACCCAACCAGCAAACTTCCCTGGAACTGTGAAGGAAATATCAAAAGGCCCATCAGTTTGTTCCTCTGCCTCCAGACTTTGGATACAAGCAGGACAACCATTCCCTTTCAAGGACCCCTCTGGAAACCAGACCACTGCTTTGGATTTGGTGTTCTTATTGTGAGCATCTGATAGTTTTCCTGTGCCTTCTAGCTCTTGAGAGCCCTGCTGCTTCCACTCTCATTTTGGGCTTGCCCTTCTGGGACTGCAGCCCTGCCCCAGCTGTTAACAGCGAGCTGATTGGATCAATAACCTAAAAGGGGGGTGCGCTAGTGAGGTCCAGGAGTTAAATGTGGTACTTTTCACTTAGATTACATGGGATTGTGGGTCTGGTGTTAATTTAAAAGGATTTCCAGTCATTTGAACAAACTGGTGTCTATGTAAGTTACTGGAGTGAGAGAGAGAAAAAGAAGAGGAGGACAAGGAGGAAGAGGAGGATAGTGGCAGCCATTTTCAAGAGGAACATAGAAAACACCCTTTGTCCCTCCCTTCCAGAAATAACACTGGTAATATCTTGGTACGTGTCCTCCAAGCACCTAGTGTCATGGATATGAACGACCACCTTTATCTCTAGTAATCAAATAGAGACACTTTTTTTTTTCTTTGAGAGGGCATCTCTCATTTATTAATCAAATGGTTGTTAACAATAAAATTCAGTATAGGGGGGTCAGTGCTCAATGTACAATCATTAATCCATCTCAAGCCTAATTCTCATCAGTCTCCAATCTTCTGAAGCATAACGAACAAGTTCTTACATGGTGAACGAATTCTTACATGGTGAACAGTAAAAGGGCATTCATCACAGAAACTTTCGGTTTTGATCACACATTATGACCTATAAACAATGAGGTCAAATATGAATATTCGTTTGATTTTTGTACTTGATTTATATGTTGATCCCACATTTCTCCCTCTATTATTATTATTATTTTTATTTTTAATAAAATGCTGAAGTGGTAGGTAGATGCAAGATAAAGGTAGAAAACATAGTTTAGTGCTGTAAGAGGGCAAATGTAGATGATCAGATGATCAGGTGTGTGCCTATGGACTAAGTATTAATCCAGGCTAGACAAGGGCAGCAAGACATCCACGGATGCAGAAGATTTCTCTCAAAGCAGGGGGGGTGAGGTTCTGAGCCTCACCTCTGTTGATCCCCAAATTCTCACCTGATGGCCCCCCTGCGACTGTGCCTGTCTTAGGTTGTTCCTCCCTTGAGGAATCTTACCCGTCTCTGGCTAACCAGTCATCTTCCGGGGCCATACAGGGAAATGTAAAGTTGGTAAGTGAGAGAGAAGCCATATTGTTTGCAAAGGTTAGCTTTTTACTTCTTTGCAGATTTATGCCCTGTGGCTTCTATGCCCAGCACTTGTCTCGAGGTATCTTTACCACCTGGAGGAATTATGATACTCGGTAAATTCGATATGAGGCACGAATTCTATTTAAGGTTTGTAATTAGGAAGGAAGAAGAAAAGCTATAGATGTAGCATATGAAGGAAACTTGGGAGGATTGATTATTTCTTTGACATATCTTCTTGTATAGTACCTTAAGTATGTATAGGTTTTAAACTACTAACTAATTTGCACACACATATTAACATAATAGGAATACGGTGACATAAACAAAGCAAATCTATAATTACCATCCATCTCCAGTGAAGCCAAGAAAACCATTTAGGCACCCTAGGCATTTGTGAAAATTTATCTATGATATGATGGATATTGTCCAACTGTACTTGAACCATCAGACAAATTAAAGCAGCCCATTTCTGGGATCTGTTCACATCCCATATGTTCTTTTAACCATAGATAGTCTATAGTCATGAGATTTTGGAGTGCTACAACTTGCACCCCTCCCAACTCCTGGTTGAGTTCCAACAGTACAGATCCGGTCAAATTCGTTGTCTCACTGTATGCACATGCCAGCCTAGACATCTCCCTCCTCATTCTTATGGCAAGTCCAGGAGACGGTGGGCTGGATGCAGCCACAACCGCAGCATCGTCCGGATCCCTGTGGAGGCTTTTTGATGATCATCCCCCGGCACGAGTCCTCCAGAGAGTGCTGATGCCGGAAGCTCCTCCTCATATCGTATCTTAGTTCATTTTCTGGGTATCCAAGCTAGGCCTTGATCTTCTGCGTAGAAACAAACAGACCCTTTGCCCACACTTTGACATGCCCTCTATACCACTGTGCAGAACTCATTGGAGGTCAGCACACAGTAACTGCTTTTTTTTTTTTTTTTTATTAAGAGAAAGGAATATTATCAGAAAAGAGTACCTCCATAGCTGATCATCTGACACCCTTTAAGTGATCAACATTAAGGATATTTAAAGCATGCGTTGATCTTTGATTTACCAATAGTTTTATCCTGTTAAGGAGTAATCCCCCTTTTCTTTCTTTCTTTCTTTTTTTTTTTTAATTTTTAATCTACACTTACCTGAAGAATACTATGTTTACTATGCTCTCCCCTATATCAGGTCCCCCCTAACAACCACATTACGGTTACTGTCCATCAGCTTAGCAAAATGTGGTAGAGTCACTACTTGTCCTCTCTGTGTTGTGCAGCCCACCCTCCCCTTTCTCCCTCCCCCCCATGCATGCTAATCTTAATACCCCCCTTCTTCTTCCCCCCCCTTATCCCTCCCTGCCCACCCATCCTCCCCAGTTCCTTTCCCTTTGGTACCTGTTAGTCCATTTTTGGGTTCTGTAATTCTGCTGCTGTTTTGTTCCTTCAGTTTTTCCTTTGTTCCTATACTCCTCAGATGAGTGAAATCATTTGGTATTTCTCTTTCTCCGCTTGGCTTATTTCACTGAGCATAATACTCTCCAGCTCCATCCATGTTGCTGCAAATGGTTGGATTTTTCCACTTCTTATGGCTGAGTAGTATTCCATTGTGTATATGTACCACATCTTCTTTATCCATTCATCTACAGATGGACATTTAGGTTGCTTCCAATTCTTGGCTATTGTAAATAGTGCTGCGATAAACATAGGAGTGCATCTGTCTTTCTCAAACTTGATTGCTGCGTTCTTAGGGTAAATTCCTAGGAGTGGAATTCCTGGGTCAAATGGTAGGTCTGTTTTGAGCATTTTGATGCACCTCCATACTGCTTTCCACAATGGTTGAACTAATTTACATTCCCACCAGCAGTGTAGGAGGGTTCCCCTTTCTCCACAGCCTCGCCAACATTTGTTGTTGTTTGTCTTTTGGATGGCAGCTATCCTTACTGGTGTGAGGTGATACCTCATTGTAGTTTTAATTTGCATTTCTCTGATAATTAGCGATGTGGAGCATCTTTTCATGTGTCTCTTGGCCATCTGTATTTCTTTTTTGGAGAACTGTCTGTTCAGTTCCTCTGCCCATTTTTTAATTGGGTTATTTGTTTTTTGTTTGTTGAGGCGTGTGAGCTCTTTATATATTCTGGACGTCAAGCCTTTATCAGATCTGTCATTTTCAAATATATTCTCCCATACTGTAGGGTTCCTTTTTGTTCTATTGATGGTGTCTTTCGCTGTACAGAAGCTTTTCAGCTTAATGTAGTCCCACTTGCTCATTTTTGCTGTTGTTTTCCTTGCCCGGGGAGATATGTTCAAGAAGAGATCACTCATGTTTATGTCTAAGAGGTTTTTGCCTATGTTTTTTTCCAAGAGTTTAATGGTTTCGTGACTTACATTCAGGTCTTTGATCCATTTTGAGTTTACCTTTGTATATGGGGTTAGACAATGGTCCAGTTTCATTCTCCTACATGTAGCTGTCCAGTTTTGCCAGCACCATCTGTTGAAGAGACTGTCATTTTGCCATTGTATGTCCATGGCTCCTTTATCAAATATTAATTGACCATATATGTTTGGGTTAATTTCTGGGGTCTCTAATCTGTTCCACTGGTCTGTGGCTCTGTTCTTGTGCCAGTACCAAATTGTCTTGATTACTATGGCTTTGTAGTAGAGCTTGAAGTTGGGGAGTGAGATCCCCCCTACTTTATTCTTCTTTTTCAGGATTGCTTTGGCTATTCGGGGTCTTTGGTGTTTCCATATGAATTTTTGAATTATTTGTTCCAATTCATTGAAGAATGTTGCTGGTAATTTGAGAGGGATTGCATCAAATCTGTATATTGCTTTGGGCAGGATGGCCATTTTGACGATATTAATTCTTCCTAGCCATGAGCATGGGATGAGTTTCCATTTATTAGTGTCCCCTTTAATTTCTCTTAAGAGTGACTTGTAGTTTTCAGAGTATAAGTCTTTCACTTCCTTGGTTAGGTTTATTCCTAGGTATTTTATTCTTTTTGATGCAATGGTGAATGGAATTGTTTTCCTGATTTCTCTTTCTATTGATTCGTTGTTAGTGTATAGGAAAGCTACAGATTTCTGTGTGTTGATTTTGTATCCTGCAACTTTGCTGTATTCCGATATCAGTTCTAGTAGTTTTGGAGTGGAGTCTTTAGGGTTTTTTATGTACAGTATCATATCATCTGCAAATAGTGACAGTTTAACTTCTTCTTTACCAATCTGGATTCCTTGTATTTCTTTGTTTTGTCTGATTGCCGTGGCTAGGACCTCCAGTACTATGTTAAATAACAGTGGGGAGAGTGGGCATCCCTGTCTGGTTCCCGATCTCAGTGGAAATGCTTTCAGCTTCTCGCTGTTCAGTATAATGCTGGCTGTGGGTTTATCATATATGGCCTTTATTATGTTGAGGTACTTGCCCTCTATTCCCATTTTGCTGAGAGTTTTTATCATGAATGGATGTTGAATTTTGTCAAATGCTTTTTCAGCATCTATGGAGATGATCATGTGGTTTTTGTCTTTCTTTTTGTTGATGTGGTGGATGATGTTGATGGATTTTCGAATGTTGTACCATCCTTGCATCCCTGGGATGAACCCCACTTGGTCATGGTGTATGATCCTTTTGATATACTGTTGAATTCTGTTTGCTAATATTTTATTGAGTATTTTTGCATCTACATTCATCAGGGATATTGGTCTGTAATTTTCTTTTTTGGTGGGGTCTTTGCCTGGTTTTGGTATTAGGGTGATGTTGGCTTCATAGAATGAGTTTGGGAGTATTCCCTCTTCTTCTATTTTGTGGAACACTTTAAGGAGAATGGGTATTATGTCTTCTCTGTGTGTCTGATAAAATTCCGAGGTAAATCCGTCCGGCCCCGGGGTTTTGTTCTTGGGTAGTTTTTTGATTACTGTTTCAATTTCTTTGCTTGTAATTGGTTTGTTTAACTTTTGTGTTTCTTCCTTGGTCAGTCTTGGGAGGTTGTATTTTTCTAGGAAGTTGTCCATTTCTTCTAGGTTTTCCAGCTTGTTGGCATATAGGTTTTCATAGTAGTCTTTAATAATTCTTTGTATTTCTGTGGAGTCTGTCGTGATTTTTCCATTCTCATTTCTGATTATGTTGATTTGTGTTGACTCTCTTTTTCTCTTAATAAGTTGGGCTAGAGGCTTATCTATTTTGTTTATTTTCTCAAAGAACCAGCTCTTGGTTTCGTTGATTTTTGCTATTGTTTTATTCTTCTCAATTTTGTTTATTTCTTCTCTGATCTTTATTATGTCCCTCCTTCTGCTGACTTTAGGCCTCATTTGTTCTTCTTTTTCCAGTTTTAATAATTGTGATGTTAGACTATTCATTTGGGATTGTTCTTCCTTCTTCAAGTGTGCCTGGATTGCTATATACTTTCCTCTTAAGACTGCTTTCGCTGCATCCCACAGAAGTTGGGGCTTAGTGTTGTTGTTGTCATTTGTTTCTATATATTCCTTGATCTCTATTTTGATTTGTTCATTGATCCATTGATTATTTAGTAGCATGTTGTTAAGCCTCCATGTGTTTGTGAGCCTTTTTGTTTTCTTTGTAGAATTTATTTCTACTTTCATACCTTTGTGGTCTGAAAAATTGGTTGGTAGAATTTCAATATTGTGGAATTTACTGAGGCTCTTTTTGTGAGCTAGTATGTGGTCTATTCTGGAGAATGTTCCATGTGCACTTGAGAAGAATGTATATCCTGTTGCTTTTGGATGTAAAGTTCTATAGATGTCTATTAGGTCCATCTGTTCTAGTGTGTTGTTCAGTGCCTGTGTGTCTTTACTTATTTTCTGCCCGGTGGATCTATCCTTTGGGGTGAGTGGTGTGTTGAAGTCTCCTACAATGAATGCATTGCAGTCTATTTCCCTCTTTAGTTCTGTTAGTATTTGCTTCACATATGCTGGTGCTCCTGTATTGGGTGCATATATATTTAGAATGGTTATATCCTCTTGTTGGACTAAGCCCTTTATCATTATGTAGTGGCCTTCTTTATCTCTTGTTACTTTCTTTGTTTTGAAGTCTATTTTGTCTGATATTAGTACTGCAACCCCTGCTTTCTTCTCACTGTTGTTTGCCTGAAATATGTTTTTCCATCCCTTGACTTTTAGTCTATGCTTATCTTTGGGTTTAAGGTGAGTTTCTTGTAAGCAGCATATAGATGGGTCTTGCTTTTTTATCCATTCTATTACTCTATGTCTTTTGATTGGTGCATTAAGTCCATTTACATTTAGGGTGACTATTGAAAGATATGTACTTATTGCCATTGCAGGCTTTAGATTCGTGGTTACCAAAGGTTCAAGGTTAGCTTCTTTAGTATCTTACTGCCTAACTTAGCTCGCTTATTGAGCTGTTATATACACTGTCTGGAGAGTCTTTTCTTCTCTCCCTTCTTATTCCTCCTCCTCCATTCTTCATATGTTGTGTGTTTTGTTCTGTGCTCTTTTTAGGGGTGCTCCCATCTAGAGCAGTCCCTGTAGGATGCCCTGTAGAGGTGGTTTGTGGGAAGCAAATTCCCTCAGCTTTTGCTTGTCTGGGAATTGTTTGATCCCACCATCATATTTAAATGATAGTCGTGCTGGATACAGTATCCTTGGTTCAAGGCCCTTCTGTTTCATTGCATTAAGTATATCATGCCATTCTCTTCTGGCCTGTAGGGTTTCTGTTGAGAAGTCTGATGTTAGCCTGATTGGTTTTCCTTTATAGGTGACCTTTTTCTCTCTAGCTGCCTTTAAAACTCTTTCCTTGTCCTTGATCCTTGCCATTTTAATTATTATGTGTCTTGGTGTTGTCCTCCTTGGATCCTTTCTGTTGGGGGTTCTGTATAATTCCATGGTCTGTTCGATTATTTCCTCCCCCAGTTTGGGGAAGTTTTCAGCAATTATTTCTTCAAAGACACTTTCTATCCCTTTTCCTCTTTCTTCCTCTTCTGGTATCCCTATAATACGAATGTTTTTCCTTTTGTATTGGTCACATATTTCTCTTAGTGTTGTTTCATTCCTGGAGATCCTTTTATCTCTCTCTATGTCAGCTTCTATACGTTCCTGTTCTCTGGCTTCTATTCCTTCAATGGCCTCTTGCATCTTATCCATTCTGCTTATAAATCCTTCCAGGGATTGTTTCACTTCTGTGATCTCTTTCCTGACATCTGTGATCTCCTTCCGGACTTCATCCCACTGCTCTTGCATTTTTCTCTGCATCTCATCCCACTGCTCTTGCATTTTTCTCTGCATCTCATCCCATTGCTCTTGCATTTTTTTCTGCATCTCTGTCAGCATGTTCATGATTTTTATTTTGAATTCTTTTTCAGGAGGACTAGTTAGGTCTGTCTCCTTCTCAGGTGTTGTCTCTGTGATCTTTGTCTGCCTGTAGTTTTGCCTTTTCATGGTGATAGAGATAGTTTGCAGAGCTGGTACAAGTGACCGCTGGAAGAGCTTCCCTTCTTGTTGGTTTGTAGCCTTTTCCTGGGAGAATAGCGACCTCTAGTGGCTTGTGCTGGGCAGCTGTGCGCAGACAGGGCTTCTGCTTCCTGCCCAGTTGCTTTGGGGTTTATCTCCGCTGTTGCTGTGGGCTTGGCCTGGCTGGGGCTGTTCCTCCAAAATGGTGGAGCCCCGTTGGAGGGGGAGCAGCCAGGAGACTATTTATCTCCGTAAGGGGCCTCTGTGCTCCCTGCTGCCCAGGGGGTTAGAGTGCCCAGAGATCCCCAGATTCCCTGCTTCTGGTCTAAGTGACCTGTCCTGCCCCTTTAAGATTTCCAAAAAGCACTCTCCAAACCAAAACAACAACAGCAACAATGAGAGAGGGAACAGAAAGGAAAAAAAAAAGAAAAAACACGCGATTTTTTTTTTTTTTTCCCCAGGTGCCGGTCCCAGGCACCCGCGCACTGGTCCTGCTGCCCTGTCTCCCTAGCACCAGGGTCCCTGTCCTTTCAAGGCTTCCAAAAAGCACCCACCCACCGGTCCCGCAGGGAAGGAACGCTCAATATTCTTTGTCCTCAGGCACTGGTCCCACGCACCCGCTCACCAGTCCCGCCGCCCTGCCTCCCTAGCACCGGGGTCCCTGTCCCTTCAAGGCTTCCAAAAAGCACTCGGCAAAAAGAGAGAAAAAAAAGGGGAAAAACGCGCGATTTCTTCCGTCCTCAGGTGCTGGTCTCAGGCACCCACCCACCGGTCCCACAGGGAAAAATGCGGGATATTCTTTGTCCTCAGGTGCCGGTCCCAGGCACCCGCTCACCAGTCCCGCCGCCCTGCCTCCCTAGCACCGGGGTCCCTGTCCCTTTTAGGCTTCCAAAAAGCACTCGCAGAAAAGAGAAAAAAAAAAGGGGAAAAACGCGCGATTTCCTCTGTCCTCAAGTGCCGGTCTCAGGCACCCGCCCACCGGTCCCGCAGGGAAAAACGGGGGATATTCTTTGTCCTCAGGCGCCGGTCCCAGCCACCCGCTCACCAGTCCCGCCACCGTGCCTCCCTAGCACTGGGGTCCCCGTCCCTTCAAGGCTTCCAAAAAGCGCTTGCCAAAAAGAGAAAAAAAAAAAAAGGGAAAAACGCGCGACCTCCTCCGTCCTCAGGCACCGGTCTCAGGCACCCGCCCCCAGGTCTCGCAGGGAGAAACGCGGGATATTCTTTGTCCTCCGGCGCCGTTCCCAGGCACCTCCTCACCGGTCCCGCCACCCTGCCTCCCCAGCAACGGGGGCCCGTCCCTCTAAGGCTTCCAAAAAGCGCTCGCCAAAAAAAAAAAAAGCTCCGGTTTCTCTCCACCCGCCGGGAGCCGGGGGGAGGGGCGCTCGGGTCCCGCCGGGCTGGGGCTTGTATCTTACCCCCTTCACAAGGCGCTGGGTTCTTGCAGGTGTGGATGTGGTCTGGATGTTGTCCTGTGTCCTGTGGTCTCTATTTTAGGAAGATTTTTCTTTGTTATATTTTCATAGCTCTATGTGTTTTTGGGAGGAGATTTCCACTGCTCTACTCACGCCGCCATCTTGGCTCTGCCCCCGAGACACTTTTATAAAACTTAAAAGTTGCCTACAGTTTCTATGTGTACCATTTAGTAATACTTATACACATTGTTCCAGTATTCCTACTTCTAGGAATTTATCCTAAAGAAAAATCTAGAATTAGTAAGACTAACATTAGCTATCAATTATCGAATTTTAATTGTGTATCAAGAGTTTCACAGACATTGGTTCATTTAATTCTTAGACCAAGCCTGCAGAGTAGTTAACAGAGAAAGGAGTGTTCCCCCTTGTCCCAGTCTCCTGTCCCCCCAAATGCTCCAAAGGCCCTGGGAGGAAGGAGTGGTTATCCTCACTCAGGGGGCTGGGGTGGGTGGCGGGCAGCAAGGTCCAGTGCCGGCTGTGACTCCTACCTACCTAGTTCAGCTCTTCTTTGAAAGCTCTTTTGACCTGAAGTCTTCCCTCATCCTCTCAGACCTGTTCTGACTCCCCATCCTCTGTTCTCTCAAGGTGCTGGAGCTACCTCAGGAGAGCCCAGAAATACTCCACTGCCTGCCAGTGCTTCTCAAAATGTGTTCTCAGCATCCCAATCAGAAATGTCTAGGGAGCTGTTAGAAGGTACAGACCAACTGAATCAGAGTTTCCAGTGGTGGGGCCTAGGAATCTGTGTCTCACAAGCATTACTGGTGCTGGTAACCACACAGCCAAGTGAGAGAGAAACTGCACTGACATGTATACCTCTTCAGAGCAGGGATCCTGTGGAATCGCCCTCTGTTAGCCCCGGGACACCTGGCACAGTGATGTACAGCAGACATAGGTGTTTGGTGAGTTCAATGCAGAAATGTATTTCTTAGGAAGGAAGTGAGAGCGGGGAAGGTAGGAAAAGAAAGATAATGGGTGTGGAAGACAGGGTGGCTTGAGGGCTTTTGCAGGAAGTGGGAAATCTCAGGCTGACTTGAGATGCCCACTCTTGAGGTCCTTTGAGTGCTACCAATAGATATTAAGGTGATGTCTTTCCTTTTTTCTTTTTTCCCCCACAGATGTGTACTTTAGTCCCAGGAATTTTTTTTGAAACCTAATCTTTCAATTCCAGAATGAGTAATTGTGTATAAAGTGGGTCACAAGGAAGTGATAACTAATGCGCAGACTATTTTAACTGCTGAATCAGAAATCTCTGTGCTGCATTTTGAAATATGCAGGAAGGAAAATACACAGATGATAGCAGTGGAAGGAGTCCTAAAATAATATTTTCACAAATTCTGGCCCAACATACCCCTTGGGGTTTGGGGTGCTCCAATGATAACACACTCCTGAGAGGTGAAGAATTGGAATAAAACTGCCAAACCAGAAATCTTTCCAAAGGACACAGGACCACTCAGCCTGACAGGCTGAAAGCTGCCACAGTGCCGTGGGGGCATCTGAGTCACTCTGCTTTATAGCACAGGCAGGGCTTCAGGAAAGCAAAGGTAAACAAAACCCACAAACAAAACTTTAAAATCTGTTTTATTTGCTCTTCCTAAAACAAAGAAACAAAATGCACTTTTTTGGTTTAATTTGTTTCACAGATTTTTTTCATTTGGTAAACTATACACAATATTAAAATTACCATTTTAACCATGATTGGCATTAAGTGCCTTCACAATGTTGTGCAACTGTCACCACTATCTATTTCCAGAACTTTTTCATCATCCCAAACAGAAACTCTATACCTAATAAGCAATAATTTCCCATGTCCCCAGTCTCTGGTAACCATCATTCTACTTTATGTCTCTATGAATTTCCTATTCTAGGTGCTTTATATAAATGGAATAATACGGTATTTGTCCTAGTTCACTTAGCATAACATTTTCAAGGTGCATTCAAGTTGTGGCATGTATCAGAGCTACATTCCTCTGTATGGCTGCATAATAATTCCATCACATGTATGACTACATTTACTGACAGACAGTGGGTTGTTTCCACCTTTGGCCAGTGTAAGTAACGCTGCTGTGAACATTGGTATGTAAGTATCTGGTTCAGTCCCTATTTTCAATTCTTTGAGTAGATACCCTGGAGTGAAATTGCTGAATCCTATGATAATTCTATGTTTAATTTCTGAGGAAACAAGAACTGTTTTCCATACTGACTGCACTGTTTCACTGTCCCATCAGCCACGGGTGAGAGTTCCAGTTCCTCTACATCCTCACCACACTTGCTATGTTTTTTTAATTAATAGCCATCCTAAAGGTGTGAATTGGTATCTCATTGTGGTTTTGATAGATTTTTAAATGAAAATCGTACTGAGGATGTATAGGTAATTTCACAAAATGTAGGCTTTAAACAGAGACTAGGAATCATAACGTGCTGAAAATAATACTAAGAATGTTTGTAATTCATTGTGCACAGTATTTTTTTGTTATTCATATTTTTGGTGTAAATTTCTAAATTTATTTCCTGTATTCTCATCTTGTGTATCAATTAAGTTTTCTTCTTGATACAAGGTTCAAATTTTATCCAATGTTCTAAAAACAATTTTTGTCCATGACATTTAAAAGTGGTTTAATATTTGATGACAGTTGTTATTCTGGTACCCACTGAACCAGCCTTTGAGGTCCAGTAGATGGTTTTGATTCCATTGTTAAGCTATGCAGCATTTTGTAATCATTAGGAACAAACATAAAGTTGTTTCTTTGAGGTTGAGCTGCGGTCATTTCTTAAAATAATTACTGTAGTCAAATGACAGATCTAATGTATTCAGATTAAATCTTAATTTTTTCTTTGGCTGTAACCAACACATTGATAAAGAGAAACCTTACATTAACACTTGGTCAATAAATACTTGAGGGCCGCTATTAGCCTGCCTTTGTGCTGGATGCGGAGTACACATTGGTGACTGAACAGATCACATCTTACGGGATAACTTATAAAAGTTCAGGGTTAAATTTGACCTAGGACCAAATTGTACTTACTGAATTGATTTTTACACGCCTTTCCCAAAATTCTTTCCCAAAAGGATTAGCTTATAAGAGGTACACACCGTAATGTTAACATGCAAAAAGGTAGAGTCCAAATCAGGAAGGGAGCTAGCAACGTGCTAGAGCCCTGACTTGCATATGTTTGATACAATTACTGTCGTGTAATTACTATGTTACTCTTTTTGGCACAAACTTTAGGGATGTGTTTGCTTAGAGAAAAACAAGTAACACTGACTTAATTAAGAAGAGGTTCATTTAACTCACATAACAAGAAGCCTGAAAATATGTAATGCATGGCTAGAGCAGTAACTATCAGGGACCCGGGTTCTTTGTCTTTCTGCTGTGCCATCCTTAGATGTATCTCATGAGCATCTCATGCTCTTACCTCATGGTCCCAAAATGATTGCTTCACCTCAGGGCAGGAAGAAAGAAGGGCAAAGGGGCAAGAGCTTTCTCCTACCTTCCTTTTTTTCCTCCAAAAGGAATATCCTGTCAAGAACTAGAAAGGGTCTGAGATTTCAACTTACTTACAAGCTAACAAATTAGCCTGCCATGGCTTCATGGATGCTGGCAGAACACACAAGGCTCCTGGATCAGAGACAACAGACTTGTTACAACATAGCAAGCAGTATAAGCATCAGCAAATTTGTGGTAGTTCTCATTGCCTTTCAGTCCCACTGAGGCAATACAGATTGGCCCCCAGGAATGCTTGCCCACTTGGTGGGTTGTCTTACAGGAGAGGAACCTGAGCTTAGGTGCCCGAAATCTTCTATAATGGGCAGTAGGAAGGCCTGCCCTTTGCTCTAGAGTGAAACATTGTTTTTCTGTCTTCCAAGGCTCCAGGCAAGCCTCCCCATTGCTCTGGAGAGACAGTACCTCAATCTTCCAAGGTTGTATGCCATTCACACATCCTTGGGAAGATACTTGGAAACAAAAGATAGTCAGTGTCTCTGCTTGTAAGATATACAGAAATGAAAGGGACCATGGAGAATTGTCTTCTAACAATATCCTCCTCAGGGCCTTCTGCTTATATATTACTGGCCAGAACTACATCATACGGCCACCTCTAACTCCAAGGGAGGCTATGAAATTGAGTATTTTTAGCGGGGTACATTGCTGCTGTAAATAAAACTGTGGTTCTGTTAGTAAGGAAAGGCAAGCAAGGGATGAGGCTTTGCAAGAACAAGGCAAAACTGTGCCGAAGTGTTTTTATCTATATGACCAAAGCCTTTTCTCCATTGCATAACAAATGTTATGACACTTAACTTACTGATCCTGCAAGAAATAATTTGTACAACTTAGACATAAGAAAACTCCCAGTCAAGTACCATTTTACAAATTTCAGATGAGCTATTGGTAGTTTAGTATAGAATTTTAATGTCACAACTGCATAATATCTCAGTGTAAAAAGCCAGTAATTCCTCAGAACTCTCCCCATTTATAAAATCTGTATTCGTTATTTTTACAGACCATTTTTGGGGCATGAGAATTAAAAAGTCTTCTGAGAAAACATTTATGGCATGAAATTTCCCCCAATCTCAGTGTCTATAGCATAAAGAACATGTTCTACTTTGTGAACAGATAGGTGTTTGGTAAGAGGTTTATAAATATACCTTTGCTGCTTTCATTTATTTTAAGAGGATTTTTTCACCTCATGACAGTCATTTGAGACTGGAAATGTTACCATGGAAACCCTGCTCCAAAATGCTGATTGCCAGTGAATATTGATCTGTAAGCATCTTGGCAGCTTTCACCAGTGTGCTTACCTGCCTAACATGAAGGAGGCTTTGCTCAGAGCACATTTAGGTCAAGGAGTCCACACCCAGTGGTGGTTAGGTACTACAAAGGACATCTACTGAACTTTCCCAGGAACCAATCTAAGGATCCCACTGAAAATCCTGGCCCAACCCTGGCTTACATTTCCACTGAAAAAGAGAGGGGTAAACCTTTGTTTGTTCCCGTTTCAGCTGCACTGGGAGAGTTCAGAAGCTCAGTCAAGGTGATACATGGGGCATGGAGGGAAAATTCTGGATGTGAATGGGCATGCCTTGCCCAGAGGCAAAGAAATTTGCAAACTACTTTTCAAAGCCCTTACTCTATGATTTTGAAATAAAAATGCTTCTCTCCCAAAAGAGAAGGAGAGATTTTAATCTGGGCAGTGCACTGGGAACTTAATGATTGATCCAAACCAGAGTCCTGGGGGATGGTGAAGATAATGATTATCAGGGCTGGAGCAAGGTGAATCACAGATGGAGTCCACTCCTCTTCTCCATAAACCTGGAGAGCCTTTCCCCTTCAGTGGGGTTTTGTGTATGAGCAAGGGGAAGCTTGTTGGGGAAAGCAGCTTTGAAAACTGAATTCTCCTTGCCAAGAACTAATGGACTGTCTTCAACATGCATGAAAATATGTTCTGCCTGGTGACCAGAGAAGCCAAAATGAGGCCTCCACAGATGTAATCTGCCATCACTCTCTCTCCATGTGGGACGATCTGGATGCACTTATTTTACTCTTTGCTGTAACTAAGAAGAAAACAAACAAAAACCCTTGCAAAAGTCCATTGAGACAACAGTCGGTCCCAAAAGAGGAATTTGAACCAAGATAACATGAGTTACCTTTTATCCACGTGTTCCTGAAGCCTGACCACTAACTGTTGAACAAATATGCTCTACCCTTTCACCATTGCATTAAAACTTAACCAAGTCAGAATAGACATTGTATAATTAAAAGAATCTACACTTGTACACACACACGTCTTTTAATATGTTGAGAACTACAGACAGAACTAAAGAATCCCAAGAGCAGGTGCGACATTTCACTTTCTTCTATCTTTGTCCTGTGTTTGGAGAGGCCACCATGTGTTGTGGTGAGGTGGAAATTTAGGGAGAAAGTGTAACAGAAGAAATTGCTCACCCATTACTTGCAGCTATTGCTGCCTTTATGGAGCCTGAGTATGAGCAAGACACTGTTCTTCAGTGCTTTACAGGAGGATTTCATTGAATGCTCGTTAACTGGCCTATCAGGTGAATGTGATTATAATCCCCATTTTACACTTGTGGGAAATTAGACACGGAGAAGTTGAGTGACTCACCCAATACCACAGAGCTAGGACCTATGCCTCTTGAGTAAAATAATAGACATGTCCCCACTTGCTTAGTGGCTCTGGGTACTCTGAGTAAAATGCTATGGTAGGAAGGGCAGAGGAGATAGAGCTGCGGTGTGCTGGAGGGGACAAAAAAAGGGAGGCTCTGAAGGTCAAGGCAAAGGCAGTATCTCCAAGGATAGCGCAATCTCTCATTGGTGAGGTGTTGGTCAAGTTCCCCAGCCTCAGAGGCCTGTCCAGGGTTTCTTGCTTTCAGGGTCACGTTGCTCAACTGCCCGTAGGGTGCTGCAGACCTGGAAGGAAGCCCAGGCTGTAAGGCTGACAGCACCTGGCTGGTCTTCTACTCAAAGACAGAGGAGAATGTCATTCCTCGGTAAATTCTCCTTCAAATGACCTTCCTGAGATAAGCCCTGTCAGTTTCAGAGTCTGCCCTCCTCAGTTTATCCTCTCTGGCTCCTCTGATATCCAGCCAGTTCCCCTGATGTCCCTGGATACTGGGAGCTGTGTTCCAAGGGGAGTGGAGTCACGTGCACTACTCCTTTCCCACAGGAGGCTCGCATGCCAGCAGTGCGGAGACACGGCGCCTGAGCACACTCAGCTTGTCAGAAAAATGCACCTCTTCTTAGTATATGATGCCTGTTTTCCCCAGAGAATAAAGCTCTGTATAATCCAGACAAAAATGGGAAATGTTTAGAATTGTGATGTCACTGTCTCTTGTTGGAAATTAAAAAACACAGAGGACATATGCCAACACCTTTCTTTGGAATTTCTTCACCTGCCCTGTCAGTATGGTAAGAGAGCCTCTTAGCTCTCAAAACCTTTCAACATTTATCATTTGGTTGTTAAGATGATGGTCATCTCTAGCCTAAAATACACATTATTACAATCATCTGCTTTGAGAATACACAGGTAGCTCTAATAAAAGAGATGACTAGATCAGTTAACAAGCTTTCTAAATCCAAAATCAAGCCCTCTTGTTTAAACCTAAAATATCAGGTCTCAGAGGTTAATTTAGTGGATTAGTGTGTCCATTTTTCAGCATGAGGCATCCTTTAGAATGGTGAATTTGATAATACACAGTCCTGGAGTGGAATCTCAGCCACTGAGCCACATGAAGCCATCTGAAAAGGAGCAGTATACACCCAGCCTCATGTCACACCTACACTCACACCAGTACTGACCACCACATATCTTCCTGAGGCTTGGCCCACCCACCAGTTCAGCCAAGAACTATCCCATTGTCTTCCCAATGGGTTTCAGCCCTGGGCAAGTTCTCTGTGGATTCAATGTGACCAAAGAAAATGACAGCAAAACGTTCTTGGAGTGAAAGGGTTATACCCAATTTTATTTCCACAGTGGCAGGTCAATCACTAAAATCCTGTTCACTCAGACCGAGTCTGTATGGGGCAAGCCAGTCTCTGCCTCTGGGCCTCTCTGCCCACACAGCTGTCCTCTGGGGCCTCTCTGCCTGCACAGTCATCCCACACAGCCATCCTCTGGGCCTCTGTCCTAGGTGCTGCCACCACTCCAACCTCTCCTCTCCTGCAGCCTTGCAGCTCTGCCACCGTGTCACCCAGAGCACTGGGCGGAGCTCCTTACATAGAGTCAATAGCAATGCATTGCCCACACGTGCATAGTGAGCTAGCCAACCAGGGCCAGGTGAGAATCCTGGTCACAGGAACTTTCGTTTTATCCACACTCCACCCCTCCAGGATTCTCTCCTCTCAATCTGTGTGCCCTCAGTCCTCTGCAGTGGTCCCTGGGCAAGAAAGCTGGAACATTGTAATCAAACTCCACAACAACATAATACAATATACAAACAGCAGAAACTATAAATTATAATAACCCTCAAGCCTGAGCAGATCCATTGCCACTAAGCGGTCATCCCGGCTGTATTCAAACCAGTTCTATTCAAATGAATTAACCAAAAGAACCATGGGTGGGCCTTACAATACCTTCTTTCTCCAGTCTCTCCAGCAAAAAGTCTTGCAGGCACACAGGCCAGAGTTGTGACTCTGTCTTTGATCTCTGCCTCTTTGGTCTTAATGGCTGGAGCTGCTGCTCTGGTTTCAGTTGTTGCCACAGCTCTAGTAAGATCCTATTTGACTTCCCATCTAATTTCCTTCCATCTTCTCCTGCCCATATTAAATCAACCCATATCTGGGTCCTCATAACCTTCATGGAGCCCTTTAAATTCCTCCTGTGAGTAGCAGACCTTATTTCTTTCTGTGTTCTCATTGCTTCAGCCTCTCCTAAGTCTGCTACTGTACGTGTCACCTCACTTATGGGATGCCCTAAGTGAGGGGAAAGAATAGCCACCAGAGACCCAAAGAGGGATGTGGGAGCCATTTGAAGCACAATATTTCTCATCCCATTAGTGAAAATCTCTTCATCTGGGCCATAATTCTCTGGACTATAGATGGCATTTTTTATGCCTAGCTCTCATAACACCTGTTGGACCTCAGCATATGTCTGCCATCTAACAGGAGAGGATGGCCACTCACCCAGATTGGGCCACACAGCATGAAGTGCAGCCATAAGCCAATTGAGGAGGGAGTGATTCCCTGGGGTCTGATGTGCATTTTGTAACTGCTGCCTCAAGGCAGGCTGAACCATCAGGGAAGCCATCTTTCCCATCTCTGATCCAAACAGAACAATTCCATCCACCCCTAAGTCCCACAGACGCAGGAGCCAAGCTGATATTGACTCCGGGGGCTTCTGCCTAAACCGGGAGTGCAAATCCACCAGCTCAGCCTGAGTATAGGGGTGGACCATAGAGTGCTCCATGACCTGTGGAGGGGGCTGCACCTCTCCTTGGGGAACTTTCAGAGCTGCTGGGTCTTTATTTTCTTTACAACCACTGGGTGTGCTTTCAACACAGGAGGGGTCAGTGCCTCGGGCATCATCCCTTCATCCTTCCCCAGCTCCTCCATTTCCGGGGCTGATGGCACCTTTCTCTCCCCTTCCCCAAGTGCTTCCTCTGCTACAACCTTTACCTTTTCTACTGTGCCTCGCAGCAATGCTCGCTCAGTCTTCAGCTCTTTTACCTTCACCTCAATGCTTTGCAGCTGATGTTCTCATGCCACCTCCACCTGTGCTTCCCTCAGGAGTTTGTTTTTTTCCTTGATGGCCTTTTCCTCCTTCAGAGCACCTGGCAGCACTGCTGTCTCATTCTGTAAGGAATCTTTTACTTCTTCACCTTGCTGCCGGTGTTCTCATGCTGCCTCCTCTTGCATCAGTGCCATTTCCTTCTTCAGGGAATACACAGAAGTTTGCAGCTCACTTTCTTGTGCCACCATTTCTTGAGTATTTTTCAGAAGCATGTCCTTCTCTTCTGTAGACTTTTTTAATACTGTGAGAAGCAGCCAACCCACAGTCCCCACTGCCTCACGGGCACTCTGTCTCTCAAAAGACCTACTTATTATACCAAGGGCCACCCCTACTGCCTCAGGTATCACCTCCACTTGCCTCCAGTCCTGGGTGGGGCCCAGTCCTCTAGGAGGCAAGCAACCTCAGACCACGTACCCATCTGGGGACAAACCACTGTCTTCCCATTCATAGGGGCAGCCTGCTGAAGCACCCCACCCATAAAGGCAGCCTGTCTTTTTCCTTGGTCAACAATGAACCCTGCCAACTTTGCCAATTGTCTTGCCAGTGGGTTTCAGACCTGGGCAAGTTCACTATGGATTCAATGTGACCAAAGAAAATGACAGTAAAACGTTCTTGGGGTGAAAGGGTTGCACCCAGTTTGTACCCAACTTTATTTCCATGGTGGCAGGTCAATCACTAAAATCCCGTTCGTTCAGAGTGAGTCTGCATGCAGCAAGCCAGTCTCTGCTTCTGGGCCCCTCTGCCCATACAGCTGTCCTCTGGGCCTTTCTGTTCACACAGCCATCCTCTGGGCCTCTGTCCTCGGCACTGCCACCACTTCAGCCTCTGCTCTGCTCTCCTGCAGCCTTGCAGCCCTGCCACTGTGTGGCCCAGAGCACTGGGCGGAGCTCCTTATGTAGAGTCAATAGCAATGTATTGCCCATAGGTGTGTAGTGAGCTGGCCAACCAGGGCCAGGCGAGAATCCTGGCCCCAGGAACTTTCATTTATCCACACCCATTTTCAGTCATTAATGATAAAATGCACCATAAGACAGGGCAGTGCAACAGTCCCTTTTCAGTCACGATAGATATGGATGTCCCAACTCTGATGAGAAACATTTGTCTGACTTCTCTTACAAGGACCAGAGAGAGAGAACTTTCTCTAATTGATCTGTTGAAATATTTATGTTTACTTAAAACAAACAAACAAACAGCAATAGTCCATTCTGTATGCTTTGTTTCTCTGGAAGATTTCTCACGATCACCCTTCCCATAGCTACAGGAGTCATGTGTCAGGGAACAGAGAAGTAATGCACTTCAAAGTGAGCAATAAAAATCTAGTGCAACACTCGGAAGCAGATGGTGGGCTCCAGGGGCTGGAGGGGAAGGGGAGCAGGGGCTCTATTCAGGGAAGGGGTGCAGCCTTTGGGAAACCCAAGTGGCCCACAGATGGAAGCATCCGCTAGCAGGAGACACTCGACTGTCTCCTGCGCTCTCTCCCGGAGCAAGGAATGTCACATCTCCTGCACTTTGACCCCTCAGGGCTGAGGACCCTACCAGTCACCCGGTCACCCTTTCAGGTGACCTGCTTGCTATGTTGGGTGGTCTAACTGAAACGGGCTCAGGCCAAGAATTGGGACCCAACTCCAGAGGACCCAGGTAGATCCCCTCAGCCTATTCCTAACAAGAAGTACCTGGGAAGCGCAGGAGCTGAGAGGCATGGAGGGAAAAGGCAAGGAAAGGACCAGCTTTGAAGGCGGAAGGTGAAGCACAGTGGCTTTGGAACTGGCTTGGCCTTGTGGGGAAGCCAGCTTCCTCAGCCCCCTAATCCCTGGGCTGGGGACAGACGGTGATGGGTCTTAGCAGCCAGTAGCAGCCTGAACAGATTCCATGTTCCTTTCATATGTACATACAGATATTTGTTATTTCTACCTGAACTCATTGTAACAAACTCAGTTTCACTCCCTTTGCTGTCAGCTGCCCTGATGGGTTCACGCCTTTGGGCCTGCAGCCAGGCTCACCCCATCCCACCTGCCCCACTCACTGGCATGGGAAAGTGACCCCAGAAGTGCAGAGAGGACACAGCATCATAGGGGACCTGGCAGAGGCCTACCTCAGAGACTTCTGTTTCTAACCCTGAGAACCTAAGGAATTGTAAAGGTCTGGGGGCAGGAGCTGGAGTTAAAGGTCACTGGGACAGCCCCACGATCAGGGAAGCCTCATCCCAGAAGCCCTGTCCGCAGGCCCAGCAGTGGTGCTTGCGAGGGCTGATGCTGAACTCTGGGCAGCTGTGCCAGTGCAGGGTCTTGTGGGTGGGCTCCCAGGACACCTCCAGCTCCAGTCTTTCCCAGGCGCAGGGGATGTCCACAGCTGTTGCCAGAGCTCCTAAAGTTCTGCCGGCCTAGCGCACTTTCCGAGCAATCAGCATCCTGCCT